AATATATGTTTTCTAATGAACCAATCTAAATTAAGTTATATATATATATATATATATATATATATATATATATATAACAAATAAAACATTAAAAAAAGGTAAGAAAATAAATCAATTATCAAAAACCATATGTTAGCGTCACGGTTTTAACGTACATAAAACATAAACGTTGAGTCATAGCATTCTATGACAGTTGTTATGACAGATCTATTGGAATAGTGATCAAACGTATATATTAAATTTATCCGAGTATTTAAGTATTAATTAGCGTTCGAATAAAAATTTCAAAAAATTCAATTTCTTCTTGTCAAACAAAAATATTCGAGCCAATCAAAATTAAATTAAAATTACTAAATGTTTTTGGACATCAAATAATTCTTATTATATTTTTTTGTAAAATATGGTTCATCGTTTTATATTATTAGTATTATTATTATTATTTATTATAAATATATTTGTAATTTTCATATTTGACTCATTTTATAATGTAGAATTACAATTTAGACATTTAAGGAAAATAGAGTTAATAGATAAAGTAGCATGTAAAGTTGTCAACAACAAGAGCCCCATAACGTGAAAAAAGATTGGCGCACACAACACAGGAAAAAGCAAAAGGAGCCACACCTTTTTTATTTATTCTCATCTCATTTTCTTCAAAAACATCAATAAACTTTGTTATTTATATTTTTATATATATAAGGATATAAATACCACCAATTAAGACCGCAAGAATTGTTTATTAAAAAGTTTTTAATTAATATATGCAATTAAAATGTGAACAAAGTTGTATCTTAAATAAACATGAAATATGTTTTTGAATTAAATGAATTTGAATTAAAACCAAATCAAAGGATATTATGAATTTAAATAAATTATTGTGACTCATATATACTAGAGATTATACAACAAAGAAAGTGAGTTTAAAATGAACATGGTACAAAGATGATAGATTCCTTACCAAGTTATGACACCATTAAAAACATATTTGGAACATATGAGAGAACAATTAACTTTAAGACATGGAAATTTATAAAACGTGATATATCTATCAAACAAATCTTAATACGCAACCTTAGAAAATGACTAAATACCCAATCGAGGGTGTTGTATTCTTTCTCGTACAAAATCGAGTTTCTTGCCCGCATCACCATCATCTCTAGTCTCTTTCACCACCAAACATCATGACTAATACTTGAAACAATAAACTAAAATATAATCTTCCGATGTATTTATGTATATTTGATAAAAATTTGTTGAAGAGTTTAACAGAGGTTCTTAAAAAACAACCCAAGTTTAATTCAGAAAAAAAGCATTGACTAACGTCCAATCACAAATCCATAATTCCATATTGAGCTTTATATCACAAAATGAATGTTCCTAAGAAACTCTTCTAAAACCAGAATTCACTATTGTTATTCTTTATATGACACCAACAGTCGATTTGATGCCACCAGTATTGGTTACCAAAACTCAATTAGTCATCCGTCTGTATTGTAACCTACAAAGCTACTAAGTGCATCAAATAGTTAACAGTCTACAAACCTTTGTGTTTACATGACCACAAGCTACTTTTCAACCACAAGGGATAAGATGATCAATTGGCTTAAAAAGGGTATTAAATGTGATTTACCCCAATTGACATGGATGACTTGACTGATAACTTGTACCTTATTGCAGGTCAGTTATGGAATGGTGGAGGGAGGGCCCACCAAATGTTATAAAATATGAAAGGGCAATTGGCAAACGCAGACAAAGAATAATTCCTTTTGGCGTGACAAAAAAGCATGACTCATCATCAAAATGCAACTTTGACCACATTTCCACCAAAAAGACCTAAACAAAAACCTGTTTCTTGCAGCCATCAAATAATTATATTAAGAGTTAAAAAGAAAAAGAAAGGGTAAACTACTCTTCCGTCCATGAGGTTTGTTCCCCTAACAGTTTGTTTGCACTCCATTACTTTTTTAATCCCCAAGACTAACTTCATTAGTAGTTTACTGTTAAGTATAAAGGACAAAAACAACATTAATCTAATCTGCAAACCCCTTCATTAGTAGTTTACTGTTAAGTATAAAGGACAAAAACAACATTAATCTAATCTGCAAACCCCTACGACAATGAATTGTAAACCATAAGAATGAAAACCATAATTTCAAAAATACATGAACGAAAAAAGAATTTTTAAAAACATAATTCACTCTAATTATAAACTAAATGCAATCACATTAGAAAATATTAAACAGCAATACTAAAAGGTCAAAAGCCATCAGTAATGTGTAATGTTACCGATGGTAGCTAACGTTTATATGACTTTTATGAACATTATATACTTTAAAAAAACATATTGAACAGCACAGATATGTGGTCAACACCTTTTACAGCACTATGTTTAAAGCATCACATACATAGTAGCAGCAGAGCAATATGTTGATAGAAATTGTATCACAACAGAAAAGAATATGAAACTTGAAAACTTCTTTTAACCAAAGGACAAATTGGATATATATATATATATAAATAACATTAGGTAGGTATTACATGTAGGTATTTACAATGCTAAAATTCACGACTTTAAAAATTTATACAGATTTTTCCTTGTATAAAGTCGCAAACCTCTGGCTACCAACGACTCTGAAACCATAAGCCACTCCCCTCGATAGTTTATAATTACAAATCATCACCAGGAGAGAAGCCAATTATCTTAAACCTAACCATTATTTTTTTTTTGTTAATAACTCTCTAAATACTTACATACAGACAAATACCCTCTTCTTAAACCTATTTACATTAAGGAGTGGATGTATCTTCTTCAAGATATGCAAAATTCCTCTTCAAAAGGCTAAAATTAAATACCAACTTACTAGACTTTATGTTTTCTTCTCTTGTTACTCTCGATTTTCAAATACTTGCTTTTGAACTCTTTTTCTATGTACTTGATGAAGGAAGTATGATTTTGGATCTCAAGGGTTTGGTTCAAGCCAGAGCAGGGATGCTGCAATTGCGGCGGTTATCCCTGTCAAGGCAATCAAACCCCTCAATCCTCACAGCCGGTTTGTTACCATAATTGCCACGAAGGCATCCCCCTTTCCTTGCTGATGAAGATGGGGATGAAGTCGACATACCGGATGTGGGGTTTGGAATCATTGTGTGTGGCGATATTGGAGATATCTTGTCATCCCCAAATCGAGCATCTTGTATTAACGGGTTAGAGACTCTGCTCGGCGGAGACCCACAGAAAAAAGGGGGCGACGAGGCTACCTGTGTACATGGTTGGTCTGATGAACCATAACCACCACCCTGTAACATCAAATACACAAAGCTTTAGTCATTGCAGTAAAATACCCATGACCTTGTAGAACAGCCATGAACATAAAATAAAATACCCATAACTTGATAAATTTCCAAGACTAAAAAACTTATGATATCCGATGTAATCCTTTTTTCTAAGTCTAAAACAGCATGCCAATATCTAGAAACAATTGCAAAAGGATATTGACGGCAATTTGCTTGAGATGCAGATATAGGAATACAGTTTAGCAGAGCAACCCAAAAAACTGGCATAAAGAACATAATCTAAAGAACTAAAACCTCGAAATTTAATAGTAAGTTCGGACACATCAATACATAGTAGAAGCTGAGGCACAGACAAGCATGTAACAGGCGTATTTTCGTCATCCAAATGAATTTGCCAATAAATGAAACAATGAGTTGTCCACCAAATGAGGAGAAGCAATTACCTTTGCAAAGATGATGTCCAAGAGCTCAGGGCCTGCTTTGGAATCATAAGGTTCCTGTTGGTAGCTGCAAGTTGACCAGAAAACAACAAAGTCAGTTCAAAGATACAAACTTCATTTAAGATCAGAGGATTTAACACAAAATTCAACAACACGTACCACATCTGCCATCTTATAGGCCTAACAGGCTCGTTCATGTTGGTGTTGAAGAGGTTGAGCCGCCTAGGCTTTGGGCATACCACAGTGTCACCATTATCAAAAGACAAGGAAACTGAAACAGAGCTCCTCATCTCTTCACAAGACGAATAGTTACTGTTCTGTTGGACCCCGCAGTGATTCATTTTCTTTTTTCTGATTGAAGTAACACCTGTTTAAATAGAAATCGTAAGACTCAAATCAAATATGTGCAAAAGCTTGAAGACAAACCCTAGATCTGAGAAAAGGAGAGAGAAGAGCAATTTGAACAATTCCAACTCGGATTGTTTCGTACTTTACAAGATCTGAAATCGACTAAGGGTTGATCGAGATCTGGTCAAAGTAATTTATATAATATTAAATTTGACAGAGGTAGACGGCAACACGAGATTAAAATCTATAAATTTGTATTTCAAAATACAGAATAAAAAAGACAAATATGAAAGCTACGCAGATCCGTTGTAAAAATCGAAAACTTGTTTGTTTTTCATGAATCATATACATATAAATACATAAACAATATCTATCGAAATGGATCTACGAGCATATGCTGACTGGGATGTTTTGAGTAGAAACAAAATTCACAAAAGTTTACAAACTAATAAAAACATGGAGATGCGTGATGGCTCAGGTACAGAAAAAGATAAGTCTCTAATTACATCGAATATTTCAAATCTGATCTTCTCATATTTAATAAAATTAGCCGCGATCTACAGCAGGTCGTAGAGTCTCCAAAGCCAAATTGGGGGAACGACGGTGACCGCTTCATGATCGCAGCGCAGAAAAAAAAAAGAATTACACCAAACCAAAATCACTGTTTTGGTAAAATTACTACAGTTAAACATGAAGAACAAAACTTAAATTAGTAACGTCTCCATAGATCAAGCTGAGCAAAAAAAATTGAAACAAAAATCAGCTGAAAAGGGATCAAATCAACACAAGAAAGTACGAAAGGTGAAAACACAAGGAATCAAAATCACATATATTGACGAAAACAAAGGAACATCACTGAGAAAGTTGATTGAATTTCTCACCTGAGGCGCCTGAAAAGGAAAATCGGAGCTCGAACCCCCTCCCCAAATGAAACAAATACAGAGAAAAATCAAAATAAAAGGAACGAATTTAGGTCAAATAATTAGGCGGAGACGAAGAAGAAGAGGAAACGAAGTAGCTAGGATGGTTCATATATACAGCTCAAAAGGCGAGATAAGAAAAGGATTTTTAATTAAAATATATATTTAATATAAAGAAATGATATTTAATTCAATATCTATATATATATATATATATATATATTTATGAATTATGACTGACGTATGAAATTAAAATATTTAAGAAAAATATAATCAAAAATTTCAAAACAAAAGTTAGCAGGTCGGAATAATTATTTTTAGTGAGGAAAAGCTGTCTGTGAGCGTATGAGAGAGAGAGAGAGAGAGAGAGAGAGAGAGACAGAGACAGAGACAGAAGACGTTTATTTTATTATTTTATTTAATTAATTGTTTTTTATTTAATTTTCTGGAAAAAAATAGGGGTCACGTTGGCGATACCTACGGCGAGAAATCTCATAGGTACTTACACCCGGTCCGGTTTAAAATTTCATTTTCCAACCAAACCCGATTTAAAGTACTGCTCCCTGCGTATTAAATAAATATCCACGATTGAAATAACATATTTAGTAATATATAATTATTATATTTTTTATTAATTAAACGAGTTATTTTATTTCTATATTTTATAAATCTTAAATATTTATGTATTAATTAAAGATAAATTTGAGAATTTGATTATTCCTTTTGAAAATAAACACTTATTTTGAGACAAATATAAATAAAAATATCTTATTTTCCTTTTCTAAAACATTGAAATTTCCATTTTTAGTCCTTTGTGAATGTTGAAAATGCATTTTCATTATGTCTTAAATAAGGAAATTATTTTGAAATAACCATTTTCAAGGATCAAATTCATCACTTAATATTTCTTTTTGAAAATTTCAAAAATATTATTACTTCCATAAGTGGGACGTCCTCAATTTACGAAAAGATCAAAATGTAAAACAAAGTTTTTGAACATGGTCCATAAGTATAAGAACTAAATCTATAAATTAATTTGAGTCCACGAGTAACACTTTCGCTACTTCCACTCATGTTCATATATAAAAAACAAAATTTAAGCTAAAAGTTAACAAATTTGACACCAATGAGACTCGAACTTAGGTATTTCATACAAAAGTAAAAACATTAACCATCAGAGTCTTGTACTTAAATTTCAGTTTAAAAAACTATATAATGGCACATATGCACCATTTAGAAACGTACCTTTTTTCCTTCAAGTAGTAATTCATGCAAAACATATCAATTAATGTAGGTATACCCTGCACGAGACAAAAACCACCCACTAATCCACTATATCACTATTCTGATCTACGGTGAATAATCGTGTGAGAATGAGAGTTAAAGTAAGAAGCGTAAGAAGAGATCTGGATATTTATCAACTTTAATCTCAAACTCACTCATGAATCGCGCTTGATACGGGGATTGATCTGGTGCATCTCGGTACATCTCATTCTAATGTATATCAAATGGTGGAGATCCATTCTTACGCTTCTCACTTTAACTCTCTTTCTTACCGGAACTCAACCCTATAATCTACCCCCCCATCGAGTATCCCCTTCAAGATTTTTTTTTTTTGGGAACATTCATTTTTAAAAGGGGGGAGGGGCTTGGCCTGGGAAGGGGAGAGTGATCAAAAGCGACAAATTGTAAATCTGTTGAAGTTTTTCTATGTAGGTTCTTACCAAGCCTCTCCCACTTGTTTGTCATAGATTTCAGAGAAGAGAAAAGATATGTATTTGGTTCATTTTGCTTTCGTTAGTTAATTCATTTTTCTCTAAAAGTGACTGTTGTAGTTATGTTTTTATACTTTTAAAATGACTCTTTTATATTGAAAAATTTGGATCAACAATACATGTTATAATGATTTTATGAAATTCGAAATTGTTGATCAGTCAAGGTATTGAGTAACTGATAGCCGCATGATCTCGTTGGATAGTTTGAATATTTATGTTGGACATGGTAATACGATTTATAAATTTCAAACAATAATAATTTACATTACACCATATTATTTAAGATTATATTTTGTATTTCAAAATTTTAAACTCTCTTTAATATTAACTAGTATGGGAACCGCGCGTTGCGCGGTAATATGAGTACTTTGATTAATAATCTAAGGATTGTCTATATAAATATATATATTAATTGTTAATAGAATCATCAATAAATCGTATTCAAATAATTCGAAAAAAATTAAATAAAATATAGTTAGTGAAATTTTAATATATACACACATACACACACGTGTATATATATATATATATATATATATATATATATATATATATATATATTGAGAGAGAGATTTGTTTAGTAATAAAGTTGTAAAACTAAATAAAATGAGTAATAATAACAACGGGAATATTAAGGAATCTGACACAAACTCAAGAATAAAAAATATTCCACATAAAGATATGTCTCCTTCAAAGGATGATGTACATGTACCATTTTTCATCCTCAACACACATCTTAACTTCAAAAACACAATAGTGAATAAACCAACCATATGATATATATATAGATATATATATATATATATATATAAAGTGACATACCAAACTTAAAGACTTCAAATCTTTATAACCTAATAGATAAAATTATATTGCAATCAAAATCACAACATGAACATACATAAAATTATAATACGACTAAACTTACGATAAGAACATACTTAAAAATATAATCCAATCAAAATCTTGATACAAACATACGTAACATTCTAATACACTCTAAATTATCATATTCATAAATTCCCACAACCCAAACTTGAAAACTTCAAATTTTCAAGACTTGATATATAAATGTTAAAGAACTCGAAAACCTGCAAACCAAAAAACGTTCAACATAAGTAAAAATTACATAGTGAACTTGAATATTTTAAATCTTCACCTAAAACATAAGAGTTATA